TGCAACTGCCACCGATGATGTCATTGAAGCCGAATCATTTGCAGTAGTTTTATTTTGGTTGTTGACAATTTCATAGTTGTTTGCTAAGTTTGAGATATTGTAGCATCCAGTAATTGTTTGAATTGAAAACGAACTTGTCTTTCTTTAATGCGTTTTTGTTTTTACACAGGAATTAACCTTCAGACATGAGAGCGACCCAAACTTCTATGAAGTGTTCATTCAGAATCCAGACAGAGACTTCTACCTTACGCTCTCACAGTCTTCCACAAACGAACAAATGTGGAGCCATAAAATTCGAAAAGGTCAGTGATTATTAAACAATATTAGCTACACGATATGAAGACGATCATTTTATCTCATAGCAATTTTATTTATGCGTTTACTTGTCATTTAATACATCATAAAAATGGGAAAATTGCAGCTTTCCTCATTCCAGCCAGAAACCCATATGTGTATATACTGCAAGAATGGATGTTGGGACATACGTATTTGATTCAGAAACGCCAGGACACCAAATACGACCACAGTTGTAAAGATTAGGAGTTTCTGTGGCTCCACCTGGTGGTTTTTGGCGCTTAATTAAAGTAAAGATGATTTGAAGAGCCCCTCTGCTGCCAGCTGCAGAGATTGTTTATTGCTCACATGCATAAGAAAACACTTTATCTACCACTCTTTATTTTTTTGTTATTGAACATTTTGTTGTGAATGCAGTACATAAAACTACAATATCAATTATCCATAATGGTTTTGTTCTATTTAGGTGACTATCTAAAATCTGGTTATTTAGAGGGTAAGAAACTGCATATAATCAGTTTTATAAAAATTACACTTTAGATTTCAGTCATAATATACCTCACAATCTGTTGCAGTTTTTTTAAAGTATTTTTCATTTTCCCTAACTTATTTCAGCTGCAGGACCCTCACCTGGAGGCAACTGTGGAAATACAAGTGGCAGAAAGTGGATGCACCGTCTAATACACAACCGACTAAAACCCATTCCCTTCATGGTTGGACATTCACAGCAGGGTTAACTTGATCAAGAGTAATAAATCAAACCGTGTCTGCTGAGAAACGCTTCATGGTTTTATAGAATTTATTGAATAGTTTGATATTTTGGGAAAATATACCTTTTCTTACCTAGAGTTTGGTGGGAATGTTGATACAACTCTCATGTCTGTGTGTTGAGAACAGAGTTTGAGCCAGGAGATCGTTAGCTTAGCATATACACTGGAAACAAAGGGAAGCAGCTAGCCATCCTGGATCCGTCCAAAGTTAGAAAATCTGCCTATCAGCACCTCTGACGCTCAGTAATTAACACATTATATCTTGTCTAACTGTGGATGGTCTAGCTGTTCACCCCTGCTTCCAGTTTTTATGCTAAGCTAACTGTATCCTAGCTTCATATTTAGCATACAGACATGAGAGTGATATCAGTCTTCTCATGTAACTGTTGGCAAGAAAGCAGAAAGTGTCATTCCTAAAATGTCATCATAAAAACTAGAATGTGAGAGCTTTACAAAATGTCATTTGGAGAATATTTCATCTGTATAAACTGTAGACCTTAATCTTTAAGATGTAGTTAAATTACATAATTAGAAATCTACTGTTAGAAATATGTGACAGTCATCTTTACTTTGAGTATGGAAAGTGGATTTTGTGAAGAAACCTTTCTTCAAAAGAAATGTATTAAGTTGGCTTTAACTTCATGTTCAAATCCAGTCAGTCATTCTCTTCTCCTCTTTCCTCAGATGAGCACTTCGTGGACAAACATAAACTTGAGCTGATCAGGAGAGTGACCAACATTGCATCGATTTTGGATGAGCTCTTGGTCAAAAAAGTCATTGACGATGAAAAATGGGAAGAAATTAGGAAAATGTCCACCCTTAATGATAAAATGAGGGAGGTCTATACTTGCATGAGAGCTGGCGACGAATGCAAAAATATCTTCTTTGAAATCCTTAAAAGACAGGAGAAATTTCTCATTGAAGACCTCCAGAAAAAGGAGTAAATGTTTTGGTGAAATCCATCTTTAGACCAAACATGAATTGTCTTCCTGAACACAAAATATTTTTATACGTTATCAGTGATGAACTACTAATGTTAATGCTATGTCTCTGTGGAGGTTTTCTACTTGGGGTTTTTAACAACTGTTGCCCTTAATTTTACAGCTAAACCTGGTGAAACTTGTATGGAGTTCAGTGTGTTCCCCGTCCTGATGAGTGAGGCTCATTTAAATGCTTCATTTTGACCCAAACACATCATGAGATTTCCTGTCAGGTTTAAAAAAAACAAAAAAAAACATCCAGAAAATGTTTATCAGACAATCATGTAAGAAATTATTATCCTTAATGTAAAGCTGGTTTTAAACTTTCACTCATGTTAAAGCTTTTTATTTTTCTTTTTTTTTTTTTTTAAATCACTTTAAGCTTGATTCAAAATGTTTTCTAATTTGAAATTCATAATACAATCTTATGGTTTCTGTTTGTTATTCTTATCACAAACAGAACCTTATTCTTACCTTATTAACCTTATTAACCTTATTCTCTTTTGAGTGAATGGAGTGTCTTAAACATAGTATATGAAATATATCATGATGTCATGGAGTTTAGAAATCATGTGTCTTTATGAGGTTTTTAAAAATGTGCATGTTGATCTTAAAATGTATGTTTGTCTGTAATTGTTCAGAGGGATACAAGTCTTTACTGACTTGAAGCTGAGGTGGATGTTGCTAGTAATGAAATATTCAAGTTTAAATTGATCACTACCATGTTCACAACTTTGTAGCCTCTTCTCGAAACACGACTCGAAGAAGGAAGTGGTTTTGAATGTTTACTTTAAACTCTAAAACAAAACGGAGTGGTTGTTTGTCTTGTATTGAAATACAATCAATGATAGTAATCTAGTCCAGATTTGACAAGTCTAAGTTTAGTGGTTTTTGATATTCAGCCACGTACTGTTTGAGGGTTGAAAGCATTATTTAACTGACATAACAGTACAAATAGTGTTTTGGTAGTTTTTGGGTTTTTTTTTTTTTGTGAATCCTCATATTTGAGTAAAACAAATCTCCATATTGTTATGAGATTATGAGATGAGAAAATTACATTTCATGCCAAGTCAAGTATGAAAAATGTCAGTGCCAAAATTGAATTTCATTGTTTATTCAAACATCATATGCAGGATTTATTTTGCAGTGTGCTATAGAACCGTGCAGTGAAATGGACGTGGGGATAGGACGCTGATCACTACCTCATAAACACCTGCCCCCGGGAAGAAGCCGAAGGTAGAAATGTAGAGCTCCTGGATTTTATTCTGGATTATTCTGGATGTAGAACAAGGCCCAATAAGACCTTAAAAGCATTTTCTACAAAGATTTCTTAGAACACTCTTCATTTCTTAGAGCGTTTCCCAAAGCAGCACTTGAGAGCGAGTCCACTCACTGTTAAGAGCTTCTTAGTGTCAGCAGACCTGCTGTAGGCAAACAACATACGAACCATAATGTAATTTAAACATCATTCATTTTTACTTCAAATGTCACTGTAAGAACCGCAGTGTTCAGGATTAAAGTATAGACAATTAAATTGAACAAAACCCATCAAACTTAAAGCGTGTAGTTTTTGGTTCCACCTGCAGGTTCTGGACCTTTTTACGACCTTGTAATGTAATGTAATGTAATGTAAATGTAAATGTAAATGACAATTTAGGTTTTAACTTTGTAAAAGTCTGCACATACAGAACAGAATTGATGATCCTGTGCTTTCCGGTTTTGCCCTCACACTGTGCAACTGTTCACACTACAAGGTCTTTTGCTCGCTTTTTTGTAACTCTTGTTTTTTTAAATACCTATTTTCTTATTTCTGATTTTTTTTTTAAAAAGTTATTACAGGAAGGTTTGGGAGAGAGAGGATGACATGCAGCAAAGAGCCACAGGTCGGACTTTTGATTGTACACAACCATAGTCGTGGTTATGCACTTTTTTAACATTGTGTAACACAAGCATCTGTTGCTTTTAAATAAACTGATATGGCTTAATTCTTATGCTTGGTAACTTCTTGCTCACTTATCTAGCAACATTATCAGACTAATTTGTTTATCTGAAACAGTTTCCATCAGTGTTCTTAAACCCGCAACAAATATTTTTTCCCACTTAAACCAAAACAGGTGAGGTTGTGGGCTGAACAGCGATATTATAAATTTACGCATCCATTCAATTTCACTGACATGAATAAAAACTGTAAGATCTGTGATGTGTATTATAATGAAAATGATGATTTTTGGTTTGTATCAATATTTATGAGTTCAGACTTATAGACACCTGTGAAATAGTTGATTTAAAGTGAGATTGCTTTCAATAACAACGTCCTAAAGGGAAAAAGTTATCAGGTAACTGTACAAAGTAGTAAACAGAAATGATCTAAATCAAGTCAATATATGGTGTGACCACCGTTCAATTTTAAACAGACACATAAACTGGAAACTAACAGTTGCATTTTGTCTTCTACAAGCCAAACGAGTAAAAGCTTTAAGATGGAAGGATTGTGAGAGACCAAACTCTAAACAATGGATCAAAGAAAAAACTAACATTCATAGTAAAAGGCAAAGCTGAAGAATTCTATGAGACGTGAGACCTTGACTGCAAATTCATGAGCTAACAAGACAATGAGACCTGCCACTAAGACATCCTCTTTAAATTAGGTTAGGTATTCTTTTTTTTTTTTAACTGATCATTATTATTTATTAGTACAGTGACAAACATTGTTTACTTTTCTTCCTGTTATTATTACTATTGTTATTATTTTTATATATTTATTTATTTTTGGACTTTTTTGTTTCTTTCCTGACTTTGTATATATTGTCTATATTTGAATGTATATGTATAGATATAAGTGTATGTATGTAGGTATGAGTGTACATATGTTTACTTATTTTACACACACACACACACACACACACACACACACACACACACACACACACACACACACACACAATTTACATTTGGATCATGAGCTGCTCTCTGATAATATGTGCACCAGATCATTCCTGTTTATTTTCCTGTAAACCCTCTTGGTCACCTCCACCGTCTGTTGGCTATAGGTCTGCATCATTAGATCCACCAGCTCCAAGACGTCTGTGTTCTCCAGTCTGCAAGGTGGGATGCATGGGAGGCCTTCCTGGATGTCACTGTCCTGCAGGTGCCACTTGAATTTTTTGAACTCTTCCCCTTTCAAGTGTTCCAGCGTTTTCAAAAGCTTCTCTCTAACCGTTGTGATCGTTGTCTGATGAATTCAAAGCAAATAAACAAGGCATGTAACTATAATATATAATACAGCTGAAAAAGCTCACCTGGATGCAGAAACAGTTGTGTGAGAACCATCCAATATAAACTGTAAGTTTGGTTTACATCACAGTTTTAAATATTGAATCATTTCCAACCTAGATCCTATTAAATTGAAAGCTGTGTTGTGTCAAGTCATTACTCACTTGCTGGAGCAGTTCAGACAGGTGTTCATCCACTGAGAAAGGAGAAAGTAACGCATGAGTGGCTGATTTAATGTCTGACAAAAAAAAAGTATCATCTTAAATCAGATTTACAAAACAATTATGAAATCACCGACAAAGCACATGCAATCTTGAATCTGTCATTCTCACAGTTATAAAAGACCCACTGCCAGATTTCACATTAAAGTGAAGGGTGAATTTTCACAAGTCAAGTTAGTGATCACATTGGACATCATCTCTAGTGGTTCAGCTGCTTTGAAGTAGAGACATCCCGAGCCGATCCTCATAATCGGAAAATAGAAAACAACTCACTGTCACTTGACTCAGGTATGGAAGATTGTCCACCAGTCTGTTCGACTACAAAAATAGGAACAGACAATGTTCAGTTACAAAAAATAAAGTTTAAGACAAAAATTTAATGGAAACATCAACAATGTTAACACTGCATTCTGGTAAAAACAAACAAACAATCTTTCTTGAGGAATTTAATAATTGCTAAAACACTGACATCCAGATTGTATATATGAATATTTGTGGGGAAGAAGAAGATGGCAAGTGAACATGGATGTAAACAATGCATGTTTAAAATTGGATTTATTTTATATGGAAGGAAAATACATTCATCATGTTTATTAGAGCACAAGGATACACAAAATGTGTTCTGGTGAGTGACACTGAATGTAAATATAACATTGTTCATAAGAAAACTCCACAGGATGTCTTTAAGTTGAAGTGCATTATTATTTTTTGCAGTGTACCTACCTCTTTCTGCTCCAGTTGCTGATTCTGCAACTGTAACACATGAAATGATGATTGCATAATAAAATGCTTTGTTGCAGACTCCGTGCATTAATGACAACAATACTACAGCATGCTAACCAAAGTACAAGAATACAACACCAAATAGCTCAGCTCTGTGAATTCAAAGACAACTTTGTTTAAGTCTGATTAAAATGTGTGATGTGAAATTAGATTTTTTTTAAAAAACTAAACAAAAAGACACAGGTGTTACATTACAGTCCAAGTGATGGCTGATATCCTAATTGCCTCTTTGGTTGCAACACTACAAATGGAGGCACCATTTTAAACATAAATTAAATTACAGTTTAATTTCTTCTACTTAAAAATCTGCAGCAGATGTGAGGTTATATTATGACTGCAATATAAAAACTGATTATATGCAGTTTCTTACCCTCTAAAGAACCAGAGTTTGGATAGTCATCTGAAATAGAACAAAACAAATTATGGATAATTGATATTGTGGTTTTATGTTCTGCATTCACAACAAAACGTTCAATAACAAAAATAAAAAAAAGAGTGATAGATAAAGTGTTTCCTTATTGCATGTGGACCTTTTTGTCTGATGTAACCCTGCAGCTGGCAGCAGGAGAGGCTCTTCAAATCATTTCATTTTAATAACCAGTAGCAGAAACACCAGGTGGAGCCCACCTAAACTGCATTATTACAATTATGGTCATATTTTGTTGACTGGGTTTTTGATCAATACGTCTGTCCCGATATCCATACTTACCATCTATAGACTATAGAATTAGGAAAGACAAAAATTTCCCATTTTTATCATGTATTAAATGACAAGTAGATGTATAAATAAAATAGGCCCAAAGAAATTCCAGCTTTACAACTGTGGTCATATTTGGTGTCCTGGGTTTCTGATCAATACGTATGTCCCAACATCCATTCTTGCAGTATATTCACATCTATGGGTTTCTGGCTGGAAAGAGGAAAGCTGCAATTTTCCCAGTTTTATCACGTATTAAATGACAGGTAAACGCATAAATAAAATTGCTATGAGATAAAATTATCGTCTTCATATCGTGTAGCTAATATTGTTTAATAATCACTGACCTTTTCGAATTTTATGGCTCCACATTTGTTCGTTTGTGGAAGACTGTGAGAGCGTAAGGTAGAAGTCTCTGTCTGGATTCTGAATGAACACTTCATAGAAGTTTGGGTCGCTCTCATGTCTGAGGGTTAATTTCTGTGTAAAAAATAAAAAAAAAAAACATTAAAGAAAGACGAGTTCGTTTTCACCAAAGTTAGAAAGAGTTTAATTATTTTACAGATCAATTATAGACAACAAAAAAAGTAAGAGAGAGAGTTACTCGGTTGAACAAGATTGATTAGTTGTTAGGTAAACTGGTCAATTGAACATGCAGCTGCTCTCTCCCACACACTGAACAAGACTCCTCATTCACCGAGCAGTGCTGGTGACTCTCTTTAAAATGATAGTACAGGTTATATGATGTGGGACTGTGTGAGGTACTTATACATACTGTAAGTCAGGCTGTTACCCGCAGTAGATTCGGATCAGCTCGCTGCCAGTTTAGAGAAGTGGCCGGGAGTATGGGCACAATGAGGTCTGTGCCCGTACTCCCGGCTGCTTCTCTAAACTGGCAGCGAGCCACCATATCACTCTTATCTGTCCGGTCAGACTGGGCCCCCCTCTCAGTCACCAGCAGCCAAAAACACATCTAGGATGGACACTACACGGCTCTATCAGAGACTTTGAATCTCAGAATTTCTCAGTGACTGTCTAGTGTTTGCTTATATCCTTCAGGAAAAACTTTGGAAACTTGATGCTCTTCCTATCCGCAGTGAGAAAGCAGTCATCAAATCAAGACAGACCAACAAGCCATGGAGCTTCTTGAGCAGGCCACACAGAGAATTTAAATCAGTGGTGTTAACCACTATGCCACTCCCCTGCTCAGAGTAGCAAATTCTCCCCTCTTGCACAATCCTCACGTTGGAAGTGATGTCGTGACTCTGCGACATTGAATCTAAAGTGAACAGATGTCAAAACTGGAGCCAGTGTGCTCTCCAGCGCCTCCGAAACTCATTTCCTCAATTGTATCTCGTATTCTTATCTTATTTGTGTCTGTATTGTGTCTCATGTCACTTATGTCGTGTTCACATCATATTGTTCAGACTGTAACTGCAGCAGTTAAACAAGCTGTTCATATCAGCTGCCTCTTTGCAATTCTGCTGCGAAGATGTCAGGAATTTTGTGACGGCTACAATATCTCAAACTTAGCAAACACAACTATGAAAGTGTCAAAAAATAATTACTGCAAATGATAGGCTTCAAATACAATTGATCTATTTAAATAATTAAATCAAAAGCCTAATGTCCTGTGTGGCCACACTGCAACGGCTGTAATCCTACAGTATCTTACACCTCTGAGCCACAACTCACCATGTTCATATTGTTGGGACTCATCATTCAAGAAACCAAATATTTCTTTGCTCCACTGGACAAAGGAACTCACCCTTCACCGTTCACACCTGGGGACGACCCTTCCCCCCCACGGACCTTACTGGCCAGCCAGTGTGGGTCAGCGTGTGACATGTGACCCCCAAGGGTGTCACCAAACAAAACCAGATCTCTGGCCCTCTTCTCTCTCTCTTCTCTTCTTGGCTTGCTCTGGAGAGCAGTTCCTGTTCTCTCCTCTCGGCTCTTCAAAGGGCAACAAGGCCCCAGCCCAGGTCAGCTCTGCTACCTGAGAAACCAGCTCTCTCGCCGGCCCGCTACCAGCAGCCTGCAAACACTCTTCTCCTCAACAGCAGCGACCTGCTTCGGATTAACTGAGAGTGAACCAAATCCTCTTCAGAATCAGCAGCTACGACACAAGGCCAGCTGATTTTCCAAGCAACAGGAGTCATAGCAGAGTTAGCATGGAACAGCTAACTCTGTGAGGAGAACAAAGGAGATAATAGCAAAGTAACACAGCCAGACAGGACTTTACTCCACCAGGAAGCCTCCCAACTCACTGGACTTTACAACAACACTGGAAAGGACCTCTTTGTTTGTTCCAAGGACTGGGTAACGTTAACTGACTGGGCCTAACCTCTCCCAAAACAGCATAGCACAGCACAGCATAACTAAGCAGCAGAAGTCTTAACTTTGTTAATGTACTTGTTGATTGATGTCTTGTTGTTGTAATGTTTGCTTAGGTTGTGGTCAGTCATACATGAAGCTAACCTCCTCCCTCTAACCTGGTACCTTTAGATTACATGAGCTGGGCTAACAAAGAAACTCACACCTTCCCTCCCACACACCAGTTGGTCTCAGTGGCCATTTTTGAGTAGTTTTTCTTTGTTTACGCCTTCTTGTGTAGTCTTCTTGGTTGAGAGTCATGTGGTCACAGTGATCACTTTGAATCGGCCATCTTGCCTTTGTCTGTGTCCCCACAGACACACACACATACACCTACACACACACACATACACACACTGTATATACTAGATTAGACATTGTGTTTTACTCTGCTCAATTGTAAATAAATGTCTTTAAGTATAACTACTGGTGTGTTTAATGTTGCACAAGCGTGAATATTGCCAACCTCTACTTGGTAGAATCCAATCCTTCAACTTTAACTTACTGTTGATATGGTAATTTGGTTATAGTTAGTAAGCTAATGGTTAATCAGAGTTCCAGATTAATTTGTAATAAACTGAGACTAAAACCATATTGGCTATTTTCCTATTAGTTTAGGCTGGTGCCCGAGGACTTTAATTCATTTAAAGGTTATTATTTACTATTAATATTTTTAATATTAATATTTTCTTAATTTATGATAGCCAATAAATTGATAAACAACCGAAATCCAACATATTTGGTGTCCAGCTCATGAGGTAGAGCTCAGACCCAACAATATATTTAACTGCTGACAGTATAAACTGTACCTCTGGGTGAATTTTTGCTGTGTCGATGTCTGCTGTGAGGATGAAACCCTGCTTCATTTTCAGGTACTTGTCTGGGTGTGGCTTTCTGATTTTTTCGTATTGGTCGGAGATTTCCGTCTCGTCCACTTTCTGGAAAAACAGTAATACAGTATAAGCACAAAGCTGCTTCAAGGTTATAAACACTGTCATCTGTGTTTTAAAGGACATTCATGAACATGCAATATGGTTTTTTACATTAGAGTATTTTGGTCTCAGTGAGGGAAATGAAATAAAATGTGAGATTTCAAAAATAGTCATATTGAGGAAAAAGATCATGTAATGAGAATAAAGTTGTAATCGAAACTAATTTACATTTATCTTAGTTGTGATTGATCATGTTAGAGTATTATCTGTATCTGATGTTTACTCATATTATTATGGACTGTCAGTCTGTGTGTCCTGTCCAGAAAATCTCCAGGTGACAGGGAAGAGTTTGTCGGCCATTCGTCCGTCACAAATGCTGCAGCAGCAACAAAAACATAACAGTGTAGGTTGGTAATATTCATAACACACCTACTTCAGCATGGACACACACAGCCTGGTTTAAATAGAAGACTTTTTGTCATCACATAAAATTTTGATTGTTATACTTTTAAAACACAACAAACTATATTCTCATAATATGAACTTTTGTTCCCCTCAAATGTGATTTTCTCACAAAATATTCACACAGTTTTACACTGGATGTAATTGTGAGCTTTGATGCCATTAATAGATTTATGTTATGAATTGGTGACAGTAAGATTTTCAATAACCTTTTGTAGAGCAGGATCTTTTGGGATCACGTAGACATGTAGTTTCAGGACCGGTGTGTTGGGTTTATAGTATATTAACACGTAAGATTTTGTTTTCACAGAAAAGCTGGCTTTCACCAGGGCCGCTCTTGGAGAGAAAACTGGTTCAGATAACTTGATATGGGATGATGTGACCTCAGACACTTTTTCCACATCATCTCCACAGTCATCTATGTGTAGGGCTGCAAACGCGTCTATTATTGTTGGGTTGTCATCTGCACAAAATAAAAGTACACACATTTAATGAGGAGAAAAAGATTGCATTAGTGTTTTTCCTAATGATTTTTATTTATGTCCACTTACCGATGCAGATCCAGTGTGGCAGATACACTTCATCTAACTTCCCAGCATTGACTGTGATGTTCATTAACGGACCTGCAGGCTTGTATTGCATGCTCTCCATCCTCTCCATGTGTCCCTCCCAAGAGACAAACTGGTACTTGAGGCTGACCGTTTCCTTACAGACCCAGCGTAAGGCAGAGACACTGCATTCAAAGCGTCCGGCCTCAGACTGCAGACTAAATCAAACAAAACAAGTGAGTTTGTGTAAAAGCACAAGAATACCGTCTAAGAGGCACAATGGAAGAAACGTAAATGTGTGAGAATATCTGCCTTGATATTATTTGGAGTGAAATGTAGCTTTAGCATTGTCACGTTGCTTTGGTATAACCAGTAACAGCACAGAGAAAGATTCTAGTTTTCCTTCTGTAAAACAATCCACAGAACCAAGCTTAACTTTCTGCTTCAGTTCCAGTTTGCTGTGCTGCAGTTTTTCACTTGTTGTTTTTACCTGTAAGTTGAATCCTCATCTGCATCTGTGCCGTTCACTTCCGGTTCAAGTTTAGTCCAGTTGCTGGATTCCTGCTGCAGAGGACGGTCATAAAAGTCAACTGTCATCTAAATGAGCACATGAATGAATGAATGATGAATAAACTGAACACATGAATGAAGGTAGGGGATTACCATAGTGCTTCCGCAGCCCTCAAGCTCAGCGCTTCTTAAAGGTCCTTGTTAAGACACATTGAAAAACATTTGTAAATGATTATATGTTGATATATAAAATAATATTGTAACTTTCCATATGTTTTGCTGTATGGAGACCACTCTCTGTATATCAAATATTTGATATTGGAACTGGATTACAAGTTTTTTGTTGTTGTTGTTTTTTTTCTTCCAAATAATTTACCTTTGGATCCTGAGCTGATCTCTGACAGCCTCTGCACCAGATCACTCCTATTTATTGTCTTTAAGACCTCAATGGTCACCTCCACAGACCGTTCACCGTGTGTATGCACCATCAGCTCCACCAAGTCAACTCTTTGTGCCATCTTCATTTGACGTTTTGGGATTCTTAGGTGGCCGCTCGTTGTTTCTGGGCGCTGCAGGACCAACTTGAATTCGTTGAGCTCTCCATAACTTAAATCTTCCAGTGTTTCCAGAAGTTTCTCCTTAACTGTTGTCATGGTTAAATCCTGATGGATCCAAAGTGATCAGGAGACATTTATGTAATACTTCAACTTTAGTTATGAAACATTCATTTCTTTCCATCAATGTAAACTAGTCATGTGAGTATTGTAACAACTAATATCAACCACCTAGGTATCTCGTCATTATGAGATACAGAGGTTATAATTGTTCAAGATAAGAGCTCACGATTACAACAAAAGTATCTCCCATTCAATTAAATTATATCATATATATATATATGTTATCTATAGCAGCCATGAGGAGGATAACTTTCAACCTGTAACTGTTAAATGAAAGCTGTGTTGTGTAAAGTGCATCTGATGTGACATTACTCACTTTCTGGAGTAGTGACGTCAGATGTTTCCCTGAGGAGAAAGAAAATAAAAACCTCTTTCAAAATCTGAGTAAAAACTTTAACAACTCCAGTCACATTTAGTTTCTTGTGTATAAAACATAATATCAAGTATTAATTATAACATTACACAAACATTTGCTCATTTCTGAATCATAAAACAACATATCATTAACACCCATGAATCCTAAAAGAATCCAATCCAAAAGCTCTGCAACAAATTCTGCTTTTGTAAAGATTATAATGTTCAAATTCTGTCAAAACACATAAATTATAGTGCTGTCAAATTAAAATATTGAGCGCATCAGAGAGGTATTGATACAACTCAATGTTTGAAGTTAAAGTACGTGGTATTGTACCACATTGCACTGTACTATATTATGTAATCTTTACCTAATGTTTTGCTCCCCCTCAATAATTGAGGCCCAGTTGCCTTTTCCAAAAAATATAATACAAAGAATTCATTGCAAAATGACATTAAAATCAACTCATCATGAAAATATGAGAAAAAGAGCAAATACTGATAAAACTGATAAATAAAGCAGATTTACTTTTCTACTATGAATCATAAAAGGAATTAATTTGACATTTATGAAACACATGTAGTTTATGTAATGTGACACTCTTTGTCTTCTTTGTCTTACCTCTAAGTCGTAAGCTGGTTTCTGACAACCTCTGATCCAGATCAGTCCTGTTCATGTCCGTGAGCACCTCCCTGATCACCTCCACAGACTGCTGGCCGTACCTCTCCACCATCAGATCCACCATTTCTGCCCTGTCTTCCCTCTCCAGTCGGCTCCGTGGGATTTGCGGGAGGCCCCTCTGAAAGTACCTGGACTGCAGCAACCACTTGAATTTCTTGAACTCACTGAGAGTGAAACTATTCAGTGTTTCCAAAACAGCATGTTTAACAGCATCCTTTGCTGCTACCTGAAAAATATGAAGGACGAACAAAGTTTTAAGATTTATATTCTTTTCTTTTCTTGTTATATCTGTCCTATTGATTATGTTTAGCTTCTTTTCTTTACAAGTACTGTGTGTATTAATGTCTTTAGCGACATCAAAGCGATCTTAATTCCTGCAAACTGATTAATCCCACCTGATCTAAACATAAAAGCAGTGATGAGTAAAGTCAGACTCACTCTCTCAAACACTGCAGGTGGATGTTCATCACCAGAGAGTTTGTCTGATGGGAAAAGAAAAGAAAATCAGCATTATTATCTAATCAAAGTCTAATCAAGTTCAATAAAGCTCAGCTTCTTTAAGGTGAAATAAAATGAACTGAATTTACTATAAAATGACACATACACACAATCGAAAGCCGTCCATTACAAAAGCCCCAAAACAAATAACTAAACTCATTAAACTTATTGAGTTTTCGTTGAGACAGTGTGAGAGTGATTTGATTTTAATCGATGATTTTCATATTTTCAACATATGTTTTAGACATTTATGAGACATGTAGTTATATAATGTGACAGTTAATGTCTTTCTTACCTTTGGGTCTTGAGCTGGTTTCTGACAACCTCTGAACCAGATCAGTCCTGTTCATGTTCATGAAAGCCTCCCTGATCACCTCCACAGACCGCTGGCCGTAGGTCTGCATTATCAGATCCACTATATCGGCCCTGTTTTCACTGTCGCTCAGCTTCCATGAGCTGACTGAAGCTCCCCATGGGAAGACAATGAACTGCAGGACTGTCTTCAATTCCTGAAGCTCCTCGTCACTTAAATCATTCAGGTTTTCCAAAAGCAGATGTTTAACAGCTGCCATTGTTGCCACCTGAAAAAACAGATATAATTATGGGACATTTAATCCACTTAGACAATTACATTGTCTTTGCATCTTATCAGTGTTCATGTAGACGTGGGTGTTATGAGGTTTTTTTATTAGCTCATATCAGGTATTTCCTTTCCTTTTCTTTCTATTTTCATAATTTCATCTTTTATATTTTGTACATTGTAAAATAAAAAGATGATTTTGTTGGATAAATTGTGTTAAAATTTTCTTTACTGTTAATGTTAAAGACAAAAGTCAGGAAAATGTATGTGCTGACATTTCCTCATCTCATCCTCAGTGGTAAAGATATCACGACATCATTGTTGGATGGAATTACTGCTGAAGAGCTCAACCTGAATACAGCTTCAGTTCTGTGAAAAATGTCCAAGATAAATCATAAGTCTGGGTTGTATCATTAGATGAAATGTTCAAGATGAGGATCATTTTCAACCTGCATCTGTTGAATAAAAGCTTTGCTGTATAAAGTCAGACAGACGTGACTTTACTCACTTTCTGGATCAGAGCAGAGCGGCGTTCATCTACAGAGACTTTCTCTACGGTGAAAAGAAATAAATGTGACTCATTAGTGACTGACAACTGAATATAACACTTTACACAATAACAATAACACTTTCTACAAGAATGTACAATACAGAGGGTTTCACACAAAATTACACTCAAATTTTCTCATCAATTATTCACATAGAAATAATCATTTTCACCTCTCCCACAATTTTCATATTTCATATTAGTCATAAAATATAACTTTTGCACCAGATGATGTGTCATCTCTTCTCTACATTATAAACATTATTATTTATAATGTAAAGAGAAGACATATCCTATAAACTGATGAGACATGGATGAGTTGACTTATACATGTTTTGTCCTTATTGTCTTACTTGTTGTTCCTGAGCTGCTGCCTGACAGCCTGTTCACCAGGTCAGTCCTGTCCATCTTCTCTAAAACCTTCTTGGTTTTCTCCACAGACTCTTGACCATAAGCCTGCACCATTAAAAACACTGTGTCCTGCTTGTCTGCCATCCTGAACAGGACCCAAGGGATGTCTGACTGATGTTTGTGACAGAGAATTTGCTCCAGGAGGAGATTTTGCCTCAGGAGAACCTGCTTGAAGTCCCTGAGCTCCCCGTCGCCTAAATCAGCCAGTGTTTCCAAAAGCACCTCGATAACCGACGCCATCATTTCTTCCTGGTAAATTCAAAGGAAAGGTAAAAACAGTGCAGTTTATCAATTCAGCTGACTACAGATGTTTCTGTTTACATCTCAAAACCTCATGTAGTTTAGAAATGTGGGTGTGTTTAGGTTACATTAACTATATATCACAAGGTATTAATACAATGATAATATCTGTTTGATTGATCACATCAATAGGTCACAATTTCTTTTAACAGGTGTGGGACTTTTTATTTTATTATCTGCTGAAGATTTTTCTCATGTGAATACAAGGCAAACTGAAAGCAGCTTCACTTCTTAAAACATTACTTACATTAAATAATTACTGAGTTTTGATTTATATCTGCTAATTATATTCTCAATTACTCTATTTATCATTTGGTTTATAAAATGTCAGAAAAAGACATAATAAAGACTCTGACAGTGTTACAATAAAATACACAGACACTAGACGCTCATAAGAAGCTGCAGCCAAAAAATATTTAAATGATTAATTTATTATCAAAATAGTTGTCAATTCATTTTCTGTCAATCAATTAATTGTTTCAGCTTCAAACAGTTTAAAGTCAGACGCGACTTTACTCACTTTCTGGATCAGAGCAGAGCAGCGTTCATCTTTCTCTGAGGAGAGAGGAAGCATGAAGATTCAGGAACGACTGATTTCACATCAGGTTTTATCATCAGACACAGTCAGACTGTTTGTTGTCAATGACTGGTTTCACCTGATGAACACTTGATGTCAACATGACGTCACATTTGCTATTAACCTCTGTGTTAAAGGTTCATACTCTGAAATGTAAATGACGGTAACTACAGCTCTGTTTCAGTCAACATTATTCTCAGGGCACCTACCTCCCTCTGTTGTATTCACACCAGATACTTCAGCTGATGATCCTGAAGCTGCAACACATTTAATACTGATTGTGATCACATGATAAAAAAAAAGTTTGACAAAAGTCTCTGTCTCTGTGGTGTGAAATGAGCACATGATAGTGTACGACACAGATGTATTTCAGGTGTGTTCCTGCCTGGCTGTAACTTCTCTCTGTTATTAAGTACATCTTTTTCCACCTACCCACTTTTTGTTGTCTGCATTTGGGCCAAATGTGACACTACGGACTGACCCATAACATGGACCCAGCAGACATTCCCTCTGATCCAGAGTTTTTTGGTATGGAAGGGAAAGGACTCGGAGAGAAATGAAAGAGAGGCTGCTCTGAGGGTAGCACATGCTGAATTTTTGAAAAAAGCCCGTTTTAAAGACCCTCTGCCTGACTGGCTTAAAGACTTTATTAACACCCTGTTTCCCAGTGTGTATCTGAGTCAGCTAGCATCAGGCCTGCTAGCTTTCCGCCTGCACCCCAGGCTCCTCGCCTTCAGCCCACCTCCATTTCCCTTCAGTCAGTTTCCTGGGCTGCGGTGGAAAAGTCTTTTCTTGCGTAGGGACATTCCTAACTGACTGAAATGACCCGGAAGTATCTCTGCAGCAGCCATGATAAAAACTGGTCTAATTCTCTAATTGATAAGGAAAGGTGCTTCAACTGGACCTTCCTTTACAAAAGGAGAAATGCTGTACCACAAGTGACTAGTGATATTGAGCTCAACCTGCACAAATTCAATGGACCAGAAAACAAATGTGGCCCAATAAAGGAAAAAATGTTTTCAAAGAAAAGGTGTTAAAAGACCTTTTGTACCACAACATTTGCAAACTACATTTACTGCCTCATGGTTGTATGCCTCTGCCAACCAGCCAAATTGCAGGAAATATGGTCATAATCTCTCCTTCCCTTGCTGAGATGTTTTTGTTTTCGAGAAGGAGATGGACAGTACGAACGTATGTATGTACAAATGGGCAGACAACTGGAAAACATAATGCCTCTGGGCCTGGCTACAGTCAACCTTCACTAATCCTGTGTAATTTCACATACATTCACAATGTCACTCTTCAAACATTTTTATTTATTTTTTATTTTTTAAATGATGATCAGCTAACGTTGTGAAACTGAAAAGATTTCGTAGCCCTGCATATTTATTTATTTATTATAATATATTAATGTAACGGTTGTCTTCTTTATCTTACCTTCGAATCCTGAGCTGGTCTCTGACAGCCTTTGCACCAGATCAATCCTGTTCATCCTCTTTAAATTCTCATTGGTCACCTCCACAGACTGTTGGCCACACATCTCCACCATCACCTCCACCAGTAGGTCTGCCTTATGGAGTCCTCTCCATGAGTCGTACGGAAAACCCTTCTGGAAGCAAGTGAGCTGCAGGCACCACTTGAATCTCTCCAGATCCCCGTAACTCAAACCACTCAGTGTTTCCAAAAGCAGCTCTTTAACAGCCGCCATTGTTGCAACCTGGAAAGTATATTTTCATAGAGCAAATATGTCACTTCTTCACAAGGAAAATTAAATATTTCTTTTTGCCTGCTCTGTCATTATTTTAGACATTTGGATGTTTAAATATTTGTTTTCCTTAAATCACCTCAGCTACTGATACATTCGGTTATTATGTTTGTTTTTTAACTTCTTTAATATCTCTCACCTGATTAATGTGTCTTTTAATTAATTGTATTTCCAGGTTGTAACTTTCTCACTGCGTTGCCAAAAACTGAAATGAGCCACCTGATCTTACATGAAGTGCTCTAAATGAATATAGAAATAGGTGGCAGCATGACGCAGGTAATTTCTCTACTTAATTATAATTTATATTTTTTTATTAGGAATGCAACCCTTGAATACTGAATATAATACAGATGTTATATTGCTCACATTGTGGATCAGTGCAGACAGATGTTTATCCACCGGGTGTTTTTCTGAGGAGAGAGAAAGAAAGGAATTGAAAATGAGTGATTAAATGAAGTTATTTTTTTTTTTACACCACATAATGTCTTCTTTTCTTGACATTATAAACTTCAATTATAAGGTAAAGAGAAGAAGACGAAAAC